TTTTTTTTACCTATTAGACCCTCAATTAAATGACTAATTACTTTGAAAATTGCAGAACTTTTCATCTACTTCATAATTAATAGGGGTAAAATGATAAATTCACTATGTCATTAATTGATTTATTAATAAATGTGTTAATTTAAAAGTGGACAAGTAATTAGGGACAGAGGGAGTATTACAGTGTTATTTGACATTATGAGATATTTCTTAGACATTTAAGGAAAATGGTACACCGGAATATATATTATATATTAAAGGATCAACTTCATGCAATGGAAGAATTTGTTATTAGCAAATATATTTTAACTTATTTGATAAAAAATATATTCTTCCTTATTTAATAGATGTAAAATTTGTGAAGCTTTATTTTTTTCACAATCTTCATAATATTAAAACAAATAATAATATTACGATTAAACAACAGAGTAAATATAAAATTAATCAAAAATATTTAATTTAAATGATCGCGCGAAGTGCGGCCAAGTTCTCTAATTTAAAACAAAAAAGTAAAATTTAAATGGGTCTACTATAGAATTTCTAGAAATCCAACTTGAAAAATTATGTTAAAAATGGAAAATAAAAGAGAAATAAATTTAATTGAGAGTTATCCTTCGTCTGTCCCACACTCCCATTTTATGTGACACTTTTTATTTCTCGAGAATCAAATAGTTTAAGTTTGACCATAAATTTGCATATAATATCTTCAATTTTTTTTAAAATTTTTGGAGAAATTAGATAAATAGTAATCTTAGCTTCTAAGAAATGTCACATCATCATTTACATATCCAACTTTTATATATATAAGAGTTAAAAAAGAAAAAATAAGTGATTTAAGAAAATTATATAAATAACATTAATGATGAGATGAAGATTAAGAAAAAATGTCAAATAAATTAGTAGTATTGATGATGATAAAAGTTAAATAAATCATTTTTTCTATTATTAAATTTTTTAACATAAAATTTCCAATCTTTTAAAATTAAAAATAAATGTTAAAAAAAATAAAAATCGAGGCAATAATTATTTTAAAGAAAAATATAACCAAAATTGTCAGAAAAACACGTGTACAGAAAGCAGTACACATTCCAATGTGTAGAAAAAGTAGAAGTAGATGAAGTTACTATTTTAACCCTACTTTTGATGCTATGTGCGTAGTGTACACATTTGACCGGTTTTAGTTCATCTTTTTGGTGGGCCTCAATGTACAATTTCTATAGCTTTTAGTCCAACTCTTTAGTGCAGTGTTGGTCCTCCCAAACTCCCATTTCTAAATAGGAGTAATTATTACTTTGAGTTATTTTATTTCCTTCATAGATATAGCTTAGTTCCTGAAGAGTGAAGATCTCAAATTAATAAAATATCAGTCAATTATTATAATACAATACATTAGTTTTTGTTCTCAAAAATCTTATTAGTAGATAACAATTTTAAGTACTTTAATTTAAAGTTCTAAAATATCAAACAATGTTCTACTATATATCTTTAACTAAAAATTTACTTCATATATAAGACAATATTTATTCCTTTGATACTTTGTGTAACATAAATATTTTGTTAATTAGAAATGAAATTAGATTTTCAAAAAATGTCATTGGTCGTTCACTTTATGGCTCTTCTATATAATAAAAATACTAGATTTGAAAAGGACCGTTAACTTGTATTTATACTAATCAATCATATTCTTCAACAATAAATCAATGTCCAACATTTCATGTAAATACAATAAATTAAAGAGTAATAATATGCATTACACTTTGAAAGTATTTTTTTTTTTTTTTTTATAAAATTAAAGAATAACTTATAACTTATATAAGTTATCACAACTAATATTAAAAGAGTACGTAATCTAATATTCATTTTAACATTATGCTAGACACAAATATTGAATTAATAACAAAAATATGTTGGATATAAAATATGTAATCTCCTTTAATTATATGTATTCAACTCATATAAAAAAAGGGTGAACCTCAAGCATGTTCCAATTGGGTGGATGTGGATAACTAAATGAGATGACATATTTTATGTCGTTAGCATAATTATCTAATAAGCGTTTGTTACCACACGCACATAGTTTTTTTTTCCAAAATGTAAACCAAAAATGTGTGATAGGAATACTATATCATGTGATTAGATGCTCCATTGGAAAAAGCTATCGTTTGAGTGTTGAAATGAAATTTAGTGACAAGTTCAATGAGCTATTAATATATAAAGCCAACTCATAAATTCATTTTAATAAATAATATTAAAATATTATATCTAACTCGTACAACCATAGTTCTATTTAAAAAAAATTGTTTATAGCAAAATAACAAAAAACTGGATAAAATCACATTTATTTTGTCTATCTTAAAGATGAAAATATTTTTTTTGGAATAATATTCTAAATTTTTTGATTATGGTGAGATGATTTATACTTAAAAGTATTTGTGTCATTTATGTCTATAGTGAAAAATATCGTAGACATTGACATTTTATAAGACTCTACAAGACATGTTCAATTCGAATTGAGACTCTAGAAGGTGTGTTAAGTTTCAATTAGATTTCTTGGAGGCTACTCAACCCTAAATCATTGTTCATGCCTATATAAATGGTACTAAATTTCCTTAAAAGACATCTCGATATATTCCGCAAATTCATGGAATATTCATATAGAGGTCATATCTAAATCATCCTAGTTCAAGAAATACGCCACTAACAGCCCTCGAATCATGGATAAATCTTAGGAGAGTAGAATCAAGGAAGGAACAAAATTGTACCCGCACTATTATCAATAAAATATTCAAGTTTCTTCAGATTTTATTTGTGTGGTTGATTCGTTTTCCATATGTTTAAAAAAAAATTGCAAACAAATTGGCACGCCCAGTGGGACCAAATCTGCCCTTCATCTCTTCTCTCATAAATGAAATCTGAAAATCTGAAGTTGCAAAGGTGGAAGAATGAGTACGTAAAGCCTCGTCTATGAGTTTGATCGAGTCTACACTCCGACCAGCCTTGAAGAGAGGGCATTGTAGACATTGAAATTTTGTAGGACCCTGCAAGATATGTTCAATTCAAATTGAGATCTCTGTTAAATAGTTTATCATATTTGATATTAAGAAAATATCCTATATAGAAATGAAAAATTAATATTTTTAAATCTTCGAGGAATACATTATCAAATTATTAATTTCTAGATAGTCAAACATTGTTCATTATTTTAGTCGCAAAATTTGATATTTTCTTCAAATTAATTAAAAATATTGATACATCATTTTAAAGACTATTTTAATAGTCAAGATATAAATTTTAGTGGTCATACTATGTAACAAAATATTAAAAATATGTTTACGTACTTAAAATTATTTTTAGGAACAAAATATTAACTATTTAAACTCATTTTATTTAAATTAGTTCAAAATTTTCTTTCTAAAACATGTCAAAACATGTTTAGCATTTATTATTGTTTGTAAGAAGTTAACCAATAGAAACTCTTCATTTTAACACAATTATAAAAATATCCTTAGACCCATAACAAAAATAAAGACATGTATCATGTATGTATTCTTCTAGATTTTCATTTTGACCATTAATTATACCATTATTATTTTGCCCTTAAATGATGTTAAAATTACTAAAATGCCATTGATCGTCCTTCTCATGGCTCTTCTATAAAATAGAAATAATAGAAATAGAAATATAAGAGTAAATTTAGTGTAGAAAATAAATTTTAAATAGTTATATAAGAAAAAAAATCTGTGATATTATGTTTAGAAATAAAAACACATATCAAATGTATAATAATAAACCAAAAGAAAAAAATGTTATATATGTCATTGTTTCTATTTATTAAATTGGAAAATGTTTATACTACCACACTCACACATTCAACTCCCCTCACCCTATCCCCCAACCCCCGACCCAAAAAATAAAAAGAATAATAAGTAACAATTAAACGAACAAGGACAAAACTGTCCAATTTCGAATAATTTAAGGGTAAAATTAACCCTTTTTTTGTTATGGAGCAACTGTTAGTAAGATGAGTTTTTTTAGTAGCTATGTGCTAGTTGGAGGGCATTTTTGAACACAAAATATAACGGTGAGGATATTTTTGAGCTAAAAACTTAACGAAAGATAAAATTAACTTATTTTAAATAGTTCAGAAGTATATTTTGCCATTTTTCCAGGATTACAATGGTTAGTTACAAAAATAAATAAATTATAGTCGGTATAACGTTTGGTATAGTGTAATATAAGAAGAACCTCTAATGACCTGTAAAAGTAATGTGTGTTGGGTATGTGTTTTGAGTGTAATATAAGAAGAACCTCTAATAACATGTGAAAGTAATGTGTGTTGGGTATGTATCCTGATTGTAATATAAGAAGAACCTCTAATGACTTGTGAAAGTAATGTGTGTTGAGTATTTGTCCCGAGTCTTTTCTTTTTTAACCATAATCAGGATTTTCTTTTTCTAAAACGAAAACACAAAGTTCCCATATTTGGCTAGTCCCTTTTCTTGTAAGAAAAAGTCTATGACTCTAAAAATAGAGGCACATTAGTTCTAACTTGGTAGCATTTGTAGTCCTACCGATTTTGAGAGTTTTTATTTATGAGAGAACTTGTGAGACACAAGTGTTACGTTAACACTTGGGTACACCTCTTTTTATTCCGAGTGAATTGTGCCATGTTATTTCTCCTGATATTTTGTACTATCATATTTTTATAGTGAATTGCTCCTCTCCTCTCGTGGACATAGGTTGCTTGACCGAACCACGTTAAATATTTGTGTCTTTTGGTATATTTCTTGTTTGTCTTTTTACTCAGGGTCTTTCTAGGTTTGTTTTGCTAGCTTTCACATGACACCTGATTATTTCGGTCCAAACAATATGGCCATTCCTTAATAAGTATTAAAAAAAAAATTGGTACCACTAACATTTACAACAAACTTATGATAGATGAAGAAGCAAAAGTTTCAACTATATGTACTGAAACATGTTCTTGTTATTATCCCTGATCAATAGTTTTAATATAAAATCAAATGGATTAAGCAAATTCATCACTACTATTTACACATGTATTATCACCACATCTATGTAACTGTTGAATAGAAAGAATGCTAAATGCTACTTCCATGGTTATAATCCACTAAAACAATGTACATCATCTGGCAGTAGTAAGCAGTTGCATTATAAGACATTGTATTCGCGGAGTTTTTCCAAGAAGGTTTTTCCAACAGAAGATCCGTCTTTAACGAAAATGGCAGGATATCCAATTGGTGCTTCTACCCAAGCTTCAGAACCTTGTGTTGAATACAATTTTCCTGTCCAAATATGCTTCCATGACGAGCTTTCTCCTATCGGGAAATAGGCCTTAACAGTTTCCCTGCCTTTGTCGAGCACAGGTACCACAAGTATCTCTGTGCCAACTAAGAATTGCTCATATGTTAAGCTATGTATATGTTCATCTTCTGGATAGTGAAGGAAGAGATGTCGACAAATTGGTAGCCCTTTCTGAGAGGCTTCCTGAGTAATCGAAAAAAAAGTACTAACTCTTAGATATTTTTGGTTTATAATTCTAGTTTTGAAAAAACAATTCTAGAGAGATTGTGTATATGTTACCTTAACTAGTTGAACCCTGTAAAACTTCCATGCTTTGTAGACCTTTGCAAGACGCGCGAAATGTGACAGAGTTCTATTATTAGAGTAGAACTGGCTGTTGCAAGATGGTTTGTTACCCTGAATGAATGGTTAAAAATGACAAAACATGTCAAATCTTTCAGCATTAGAGTGAAAAGAAAAGAAATACTCCCTCTGTTTTAATTTGTTTGTCTGGTTTTGACTTGACACGGAGTTTAATAAAGTAAAGAAGACTTTGGAATCTTGTGGTTTTATACTAAATGTTCCATAATGCCCTTTAATCTTGTTGTCTTAAACATATTGTGTAAAAAGTTAGAATTAAGGAGTTGGGTGAAAAAGGAAAGAAGCATTCTTGTTTAAACGGACTAAAAATGAAAGCAACAAAACTGAAGTGGAGGGAGTAGGAAATATGAGTCCCGGAGATGTGCTGAAACTCACTTCATGTGTCCGGAAGACGGTGGTGAAGGCAGCCAATTCCATCCATCGCAAAAGAAGCTCTTCACTTCTTCGATACTTGAAAAATGGTAAGTTTACTGCACAGTAGCCTCCAATGTCACTGTGATTAAGAGCATATCCTGAAAGTCCTCCGCTAAGCAAGCCAACGACTGCACTCTTGATGCCATCATTTTTTTGCCAACTTACCATTTGGTCTCCCTCCCAAAATAGCATTGCCCATTTAGGAGTATCCCTGTAACCAGCTCTCATGAAGAAAACCAAACTATCCTCTGGATCTTCTCCCTCTTTACCTACATGCGTGCTTTTCCATTCGTCCACGAATTCCCTGTTGATTTTGGCCCATAATTCGGGATATCTATTATGTGCTGCAATTGGATCTTCACCTGGACAATTAAAAGGACTATATATTAGTACTTTCTTAGACACAAATGTTGAAGAAGAAAATGATGTTGTTGGAGGACCTGAATACAAGCAGGCATCCACAGGAAGGCCTTCACCAAAATCTGCCATCCATCCTCGTACTCCATCATCTACCATTTCTTGCAGAATCTGCTTGAACCAATTTGCGGTACATGGATGTGTCAAATCCAGCATCCCTACATCAAATGCTGTATTGGGAACCATATACAGCTCCCCATTCTTGTCTTTTACTAAGATATCCAACTTCTTTGCCTCCTCAAAATGGTGTCTTCTTATGTTTGGCTTTTTATCCATCTGCAGTTTTTTTGAACCAAAACTTGTAAAGGTTGTCTACGAGGAGTTGCACATAATAACGATAAGTTAATAGTTATGATGAATACCGGAGCCAGACAAGGATTGCAATATGTCATGACTTTGATATGTTGCTTATTAAGGTCTTGAATTAGTTGTTTCCATCCCGAGTATCTCGTTTCATCTGCTTCCCAATTCCACCAAAGTTGTGATCCAATGACTGTTTCTCTCTGCCCTACCCAATCCTGAACATAAAGAGTATACGAAAAGATGTTACATACTTGGATAACTCATCTATTTTTGAATCAATCTGAGTATTCTTTATGAGGCCTGGAATCTTTTTAATTCCTTCATTTAAATGATCTTCTTTTGGTGTACCTGCAACCAGAATGCTGATACTGGGACGTCATATCTTTGCATTTCATTCCAAATACTGCGGACAGTGTCCGTTCCACCTTGCATTCCCACCACTGCACCTGAAATAATCCATTCTGGAAGAAGTGGAGGCCTACCAGCGCTTCCTGTGAAACATTCAATCAGTTCAGAAGGTGAGTTCCCGTGTAGTATCCGACCTTCCAATGAGTCCCCATGTAACTGCAACAAGATTTTAAAGTATGAGCCAGATTTGAACAAAATGTACATCCTTTCGTTCATATTGTCCGCTTTAACACAACATGTAGTGGGATTATTTCTTCAGGCCTTAATGTTCTTTTTGACTTGGTATTAGTACGAGATGAGATCTCGTCTTGTGTGTTAAGAGAAAATACAAGTTTTGTGCAGCAGATAATTCAGATACTACTGTTGTATTGAGTTAATGCTGGCCTAGTTAACATTATCTGAAATTACACCACCAATATTTAAGCTTGAGTTACACTATAAATATTCAAAAATCAGGAAGAGAAATCGTTGAAACTCACCTGTATCTGGATTCTATCATCTTTTGTTAGATCAAACACTGAATAATCATAACCCTCCAAGTACATTGACCTCATCTTCGATGTCATGTAGAATGGCGAAGGCGCATAAGTTGTACTCCAATCACCTCCTGCCCTACATGACATAATAGTGCTTATTTCAGTTTTTTTATCTTAAAAATTTGGCACACTGTACAATTGTAGTTTGATTAAAAACGAAAGGTATAATACAAAAACAGACATTCAAATATCGTCTCAACTGGCAAGTAAACACTCCAACTTTGAGAGTACCTATAGCTAACTAAATTGGCTGCAAAGGTAATAGGTTGATCGCCGCGTCCAATCCCTTGTTCTTGAACAAAAATAGGGACCCTCTTTCCTTTAAAGTTCATATGAGAAAATTGCTCTCCAAAACCAAATATTTTTTCATTTTTTTCACTTGAATATGTTAAACAAATCCTATTATTAACAACTTCTTCACTACTTTTCATCACTATTTTCTCCTCAGCTAATGATGAAACAGTAACAGACTTTTTTAATCCTCCAAACCACCCACCTCTATGTCTCCGAATTCGACCAAATTTTAGAGAAAAATTCCTATAACTTCTTCGAGAAACTCTTTTTGGAAGTTCTAAATCTGTTTTCCCAATCCTCACTTGGAAACCAACTTGATGACATTCTTTCTGATCAAACAGAATCCAATATCTTGCACAAGTTGAATTTTCCTTCTCCGAATCTTTTCTTCTTGAAAATCTAACCTTTTTCTTTCGTTTACTTACCCCGAAAACCTTCCCTGTGATCATTAAAACAGGAAACAGGGGATACGACGAAAAAAGTTGATCTTTATCAGATTCATTTATGATCCTTATGTCGTCAATTGTTTGATTATTTGAAAGAGAATGAACATGTTTATCTTTGACGACGAATGAACCTCTGCTTTCTTCCACTTCAGTTTCAGCAATGGCGGCAGAAATGAAAGGCTCACCAGGGAGAGTGGACCATAAAGGCCTGGTAGGCTCAGATTTGTGAGAAATTGATAAAAATCCTCCATTTTTTGATGACCAATTTAACTGGAAATCTTTGCCAATGGGGTAGATCTGATGAGAAGGGAGTTTATGAGAATTCAAGATTAAAGCTCCACATATGAATGGTGAGTTTGGGGTGGATGGAAAAGGATTATTGAAATGTTTGTGATGCTTTTTGGTGATTTTCAAAGTTGTCATGTTAGAAAATGTGAAGTGTTATTCTAAATGCAATCTATTTATACACATTCTACATTAGCAAGGAAAATTAATATTATTTTTTGTGCAGGTATAATAGATAGTTAGAATCTTCTTGATGTTTAGTTTTTCAAACTTGAAATAAAAAATTCCAACCCCACCTATGCCGATCCAAAATTTTCATTGGCTTGTGAAGATTCTAATAGCTTTGTTGGTTGGAATATTGAGGGAAATTTATCAATATTATCCATTTGCTACTTTTCAACTCATGATTTTCACGAAGTGGGTTTAAGATATAATATAAAATAAACAAGGTTGGAAGCGAGAATCAAACTCGGGTTGGCTGAACAAAATGAACCTCTTCACCGCTAGGCTAAGCGTCACATTTATGCTAAATGGAGTCAAAATTTAATATGTACTTATAAAATTTTAAAAGCTAATTATCATTTATATATGAAAAGTCACATAGAAATTTGAAAGGTCAATTACTATTAAAACACATATAAAAAAGATAGAGCATAAAATTTAATTCATTAACTTTTAAAATTAAATTAATAGACTTCTAAACAATATACATTGAATTTGATTGTGGAAAGTTATTCCATATTTTCACATTTATTGAAAATTTCAATTTCTTAATTATTATCTATAATTAGTTCAATTAAAATGTTTAATTCCTCTCATTTTCCATGAAATTAATATCATGTCTTTTCATATACTTTATAGGATTCTATAAATTTGGAAAGAAAAATTTATACTATTCAATCACATAGTCAAATGATATATAAAACTCAAAGTAAAAATCATCTTATTAATTTTGTATTCACAACTTATGCAACTTCTACAAGATTTTCATCGTCATGTATTCATTACCCATTTTCTACTTTTGAGTTTCAGTTACAAAACAATATTGAGTTTTGGGTTTAAGAATTATATTGCTTCATCGTGAGAATCTTGGAGGCAAAACACATTATGATCCTTCTTTCGATTTTAAAAATACATTTATTTGAGTGTGAGGAACATGCTGAAAACAATTAAATAATTTATGTTTAAATATTCTTAATTATTTTTTTATTTATATGATGAAACTTCTTTCAAGGTGGGTTGTATCATTATTTGTGTCTTTTTTACTAATGTTCCTTACTTATCTTGCTCAAAAGATCCTTCTTTTTGTGTGTATATATATTTGCACTTTATTTACTGATTTTGTATTTCATGATAAGTTTTTTGGGTTGCAAATATTTTCGTCTTTTAATAGATTTTTGGTGATGATCCCTTATATAAAGTGAACATAAAATATTAGTCCACTTCACTTTTGTGTTTCATCATCTTATAATTCTTATACATTTATGTAAAATCAATTTATTGGTCAATTTTTCCCTCATTAACATGGTAAATGTATATATTTACTCTTTGTCTTTATTAATTTTGTTATATACGTTTACGTCCATTTCTTAAATTTAGAGCAAGAGTTCATCACTCTATCACATACTATATGCTATATTATCTTAATTAGTTTCAACATTTTAAATTTTGCAGACAAATAACCAAAATTAAATGAAAAGAATTAATTGGCATTGTTATATTTGCACAGAACAACATATACAAAAGAATAATGTATTTGATATTATCAACGTTAAATTAGACCTATATAAATTTGTATGACAGTAAAGAATAAACGTGCAACGCACGTTTTCAAAACTAGTATTACTAAAAGTGGGAAGAATCTAAGTCAAAAGTTGAATTACGAAAATACCCTTTAAGTATTAATTTATTTTCTTGAAATTATTTAAAATATATATTTCATTTAATATTTATTTCGGGATTCAATGAATTTTGATTGTTCGTATTATGGTAATTAATACTCCTATTTCCAAGACTTACAATTCAATACACATTATTAAATTGTAAGTTATTACTTCCTCCATTCCATATTAATTGAATTTTTGAGGAGTTTCACACCCTTTAAGAAAAGTAGATTAAGACATATCCATTTTTACCCTTATTAATTATTGTCAAATTTATTAAAGTCATCACATTGAAAATCCAAATGAAGGGTAAAATTGGAAGAATACTCTAAAAGTAGTCTTGAAAACTGAACAATTAAGTTGATTTGAAAAATGAAAAATACCTCAAAAATTCAATTAATATGGAATGGATGGAGTATTAGTAAGAAAAAACCAACAATCTTTACATTTTCCAAGTAGTAATAGTGATGATTTTTCATAATCATAGTTACTATGAATTTTTTAATAATTAGTCATAATGATTTTCCATTACATATTTAATATATTTGAATTCTTTTACATATTTTATCCTTAGATTACAGTTTTATTTCAACATTACATTTAAATGTCATAAATTGTTTAATAAATTAAATATTAAATAGTAAATAGTAAATCATCATATTAATATACATAAATTATCACTAACTCATCATTATGTAAATGTATGTAACACCCACTAATTATATTCATTATGTTTTTTACTCTCATCTCTCATCGATAATCTCAAATGGATTAATATATTATTTATGACAACTCTTTTTGTTCCTCAATGCTATCCTATGAATAGTGACATTAGACACAATAATGTACCCATGTAAACCAATTGAAAAAAAAAACATGAGAAAATTTCTATGCTCTCTTCTCTTGTCTCTTTTCAATTGTTTAGGTTAACCTTTATGTTTAATTTCTTGTTTGTTGTTATTGTACAACTTTCTATTGTTGTGTTGTTGTTATTATTGAGAATTTACCATGGTTTATTGCTTTGTATACATTAGCCGATCATGTGGTATTTTAGTATCCTCATTTGAATATTGAATTTGTGCAATAGTTAGTTATTTTTACTTTATGCACTTTAGTCAATTTTATAGTTAAAAATATTATTTTTTTTAATTTGGAAGATATATGTATTTCCTATCGAAACAATGATGAATTTTGCAATACAAAATTTATATGAAGTATTTTGGGATAAACGTTATATATGGTGTTATTTTTCTACAAAGTGGGTTCATATGAACCCACTTGACCCACGGTAGGTCCGCCCCTGATCGACAATCTCATGAAAAAGAAGGGTAATTTGAAAAAATAAAAATAAATATATCTTTGGACTTTGAAAAATCCATTGATTTTGGACCATAGTTTAGTTACCGTAGCAAGACCGAGACGTTATTTTCTTGATAATTCAAAGACGTACTTGGTCAGCTATACAGGAAAGATTCACTTTTGTATTTGATGGGGTTTGTGGAAAATGCATGGAGACGCAATAATGGCTAAATTAAATGGCTCACTTAATTGGTACATTAACTTTAAGTTACTAGTAGGAATTTGAGTTTCACTAATTCTACTAATAGGAACTTGTATATATATATATATATATATATATATATATAAATTTTGATCTTTCCAAAGAAACATTATTGTGAGTATGTTTTAGCTGTAAAATGTATCTCATAGTAACGAATTATAAAACGTTATTGACAAAAATGTTTTATGTATGTTTACTCTGTCAGATCTTTGTCTTTTTGTCATTGAATTTTTTTTTCTAAAATATAACATAAAACGTTACTGAGAAACACGTTTATACTAGTTCTGTTAATTTTTTTAAAAAAAACATATTATTCTGATGAATTAGTTTTAATAATGACTTATTTTGATAAAAAATATGAACAACTCATACGAGTGTCCTTGTGTTGTTGGTATAAGTTTAGCTTGTACATATTTTTTTCATTTTTAATAAATCCTGACTCATGTGATCTTTGATTTTCTTTTAAAAAAAAACATCCGACTTTAAGTTTGCAGAGCCGCCCCTGATTCTGCCGAATACTCAAATGATATTAACTTTATAATCCTAAACAATTCAAAAAACAATTCAAAAGTGCTTAATATATCGCTTGATGTGACATGACAAACAAAACTATAATAAAAAGGAATGTAATTAAGACAAGGTAGAGGTCGTCGTAGAAGAAGAGCTGAAGATAACAATTGGTCAGAAATTGATTAGTTTTCGATGAATAAACTTCAATTTTTTAGTCAAATACGTGCTCAAGTCGAGGTGATTACCATGCACCTGTCTTTTCATCAAGTTGTGTCCAATTGACATATTTGATTATAAGTTTTGAATTTACTTTAAGGAAAAATCCTTTTTGTCAGAAAAGTTTGGCCATAATTTGGTCAGAATAGTACTCCATCTGTCCCTAATTATTTGTCCACATTTTCTTTTTTTAGTTGTCCTTAATTACTTATTCATTTTGATAAATCAAGAAATGACAATTTTTTTTACTCATTATACCCTCAATTAATACCCTTGAAAATGGTAGAGCTAGTTTTTAATTCATCCATTTCACAATTAATAGGGGTAAAATGGTAAACTCACTATATCAATTATTATTTTCTTAATAGGTGTGTCAATTCAAAAGTGGACAAGTAATTAGGGACAGAGGGAGTAAAATGACATGTTTACACTATAAACTAGTTTCATTTTGGACAATTTTACCTTTTTAGCTCGACAATTGAATACATTCTTGGGATCTTTGTATCCTTCCATTATGTTTTCAATATATTGAAAATAATTAATGAATGATGATTTCATAGTCAATTATGAAAAAAGCTATAAATTTCAACAAAAAAACATTAAGTGATCTCATGCAATCTATATAAAAAAAATGTTTTCAAATTATGTTTTACAAAAAACAATAAAAGTTGTAACATCAATAGTAAAAAAATATATTTTTTGAATTACATTGTATTCTTGTTGATTGTATTAGAATAAGAAAAATTTCACGTTATATTCCACATTATATTCTTGTTGGTTGTATTGGACTGAATAACTTATTTATAATTAAAATAAATGTTTGAGTTATATGATGACGTTATCGAGTAAATATATTCAAGAGGAAATAAATTAAGAATCATATTGTTGAACCAATAAAAATTCTGTTATAGTGAATTTGAACTCTTCGATATGAAAAAATTATAATTTTTCAAACTATAATTATATTTTCACCAACATATATATATTATTTCTATTTCTTGTTTGTGTTATATATCTTTTATAAGTTTGGCAAAGAATCACTAAAATCTTATGGATATTCCACATTATATTCTTGTTGGTTGTATTATAATAAAAAAAATTACCTAACTAATATTACAATAGATTATGGCCAAAAGATTAGTGTTAACTAAATTTACTTAACATTAATTTTTTTTTTTCAAATATAATAGTTAAAAAAAATAGTTAATTGAAATTTGTAGGTCATTTTAGTAACAAATATAATAATGATTCATAATTATCAAATCGACGTAGTATAGGGAACAAAATTTGTATGATTTTATTAATGTTTAACTCTCTTTGGTTCGACATATATGAACTATACACATGATTTCTATAACTATCGATATTTACCGAATCTAATATCTTTTGAGTTGTCGTTATCTCAATATTTTACAAATTATATTTAAAAATGATTAAATTATATAGTTTAATTTTATTCAAACAATTAAAAAAATTACTTAATTGGAGGTCATTTTAGTAACAAATATAAGTAGTGATTCACAACTTATCAAATCGACGTAATATAGAAGAAAATACTTGTATGATTAATACTATTAATGTCTGACTCTCTTTGGTTCGACACATATAAACTTTATGCATTGTTTCTATAATTATCTACATGTATCAGGTCTAATGTATTTTGAGTTGTCGTTATCACAATATTTTACAAATTACATTTAAAATATTATTTAAATATATAATTTAAATTTATTTAAACATAATAATTAAAAAATTAAGAGGTCATTTTAGTAACAAATATAAGTATTGATTCACAATTTATCAAATCGGCGTAAGGGAATAAGACTTGTATGATAAATACTATTAATGTCTGACTCTCTTCGGTTCGACATATATGAACTATACACATGATTTCTATGACTATCAACATTTACCAGGTTTAATGTGCTTTGACTTGTCATTATCCCAATATTTTATAAATTACATCTAAAAATTATTTCATTATATAATTTAATTTTATTTGAACATAATAATTAAAAAAATTAGTTAATTGAAGGTCATTTTAGTAACAAATATAAGTAATGATTCACAATTTATCAAATTGACGTAGTATAGGGGATAAAAAGTGATCGAACGCCTTTATTCTTTATGCAAGTGTTCTCAATTTATACTATGAAATCAAATAATAAGATCAGGAATAAGAGTATGAAGTAAAAAGAAAAATAATTTTCATAGTCCCTAGATTTTTATATTACTATTTTTTCCGCTTTCTAATATTTTGTATATTTTATTCAAAACCCATGTAGTTTTTGCCACTTTATAACTTAATTAAATATTTTCCCTATTTATTTTAGGAGAACAAAGTTACGGGAATGGTCTAGAATTCTACTGGGAATTGCAAAGGTTTGTTGAATAAATCAAATTCTTCCTTTAATACATTTTTCCTTTATTTTAAACTAAAAGATTAGTATAGTCTTTATACGTTTCTGGCCAAATTCTGGCCACATTTTTCTGGCTGTTTAGCACTTCCCTTACTTTAAATGCATATTATATAAATTTGCCTTTTAACTTGGCATCAACTGCTATGGCCTCCAATTTTGGGTGTGCACAAGTAGACACTTAAACTTATATAAAATTGAACAAGTAAACACACGAATCCTAAGCGGTAGGATGCCACATAGGATGCTACGTAGGACGTATGTGTCTATTTGTTCAACTTTATACATGTTTAAGTATCTACTTATGCACATCCATAGTTGAAGGACATAATTATTGGTTAAGGCCAAATTAAAGAACACGTTTATATATTATACCTAATTTTAATATTTACATGAAATGGATAAATTTAAGAACTGCATATAAGTGTACAATTTTTCCCCCTAGTTTTATATCAAATCACCTCAAATATTTTTATCTTTACACTTGGAAATTTAAAATTAAAAATATACATAAAATTATATTTTGTTCAAGCTAATACAGAATTATATTAAATAGTTTCCTCATGTGAACAGAACAAATTACTATATTGAACTTTCAGGACGTAGACCCCTACTTTTGGGAAATATTCAGAAGCCAGTATTGATTAATTTCTCCAGACATATTTAATTTGATTATATTACATCTCTCAAGTTTATTTTTTTTGCATTTTTTCTAAGATGATGGTGGAATTTGTATAAGATGTAAAAAGTAAAATTGAAAAGGAACATATCTACTATAAAATACTAATGTAGCAAATTTTATATCAAACTATAGCTCGGACATTCTAATAAAAGTATCATCTGACATTGACATTGAAATTCAAAATATCAAAATCACGATCAAATAATTAATGTAAAAGTTATTTACACGTTTACATTCCGTGTATATAAGTTAAACTCTCCGTATATTTCCATGTTCAATATCACTTGTTTTCAATGACCTGAATATCATTTTCACTAGTGCTAGTTACCAAGCTCTCCTCTACAGCTTTAATATACAAAGTTTTAACCTTCGAAAAAATATTTATCCAATCAGACATAATCAAACAATCATATGGAAAAGTATCATAGCAAATATTCCTTCCGTACTAATTATTTATGTGTTGTAGTTTGATTTGACAAGAAGTTTAAAGAAGAAAAAATGACTTTAGAAATTTGTGGTCTAAAATAAGTCTCCTGTGGAAAAAATGAGCATTTTAAAGTTAAACTAATATCAATTATAGAAATATAACATTCTTCTTTAGATTGAATAAAAAAAGTCTGTCATATAAATTGAGACAGATGAAATAACGATCAAGAAACTTGAAGCAATATCGCTTGGAGTGAATTATATGTGGATGGTATCTTGGGAAGATACATTGTATTATGAACCTAGACCTAATTAACTCCACTATCTACCATTTATTTAACTCGAAAGTAACATGTACCTTTTTACTTGTGGACCTAATTTGAATATAGATTAAAAGAACGGGAAAATACATAAGTTGTCCCTTAAATGTGTTCGAAAGGCTAATTGGATACAAAATATACTTGACATTTTATAATAAAATGTTATTATTATATATAAAGAATGTACCTTAGTTAATTATTACCTCTATATTGGACCATAACTAATCATAAATTAAAAAAATGGACTACACGCGCTCCACATCACTTTCACTTAACTCTTTCAAGGTTTTTTTTTTTCCTTCTTCGTACTTCACCCTCCTCCTGAGTCTCATATATACCAATTAAAATTTTAATGTGTGCTTTTGGACAGTGGGGTTGCACATGTAGGAAGTTTGAACTTGATGCAAATAGCTAAAATATCATGATTATATTATCAGTTAAATAAAAAATAACATTATTTTATGTATCAATCCTTACATTTTCTACGACCAAAGGAGTGAGATAGTTTTTTGAATTTTATGTTTTGAGTGGTTTTATAGATGTTCACGACTGAAAATAAATCGTTTGAAGTCCATTCAAAAGGAAAATTGGGATGATGCTCAAACAAGTGAAACATAGCTTTAGTACTTAAAAAAGTTCACATGTAATATACAAACAATTTAGCTATAGTTCTTGAAAAAAAAAAAGGATAAGACACCAGTACTCCTAGACTAGGACCGAAATTTCAGAAACACCTTAATTAAACTAAAGCCCTATTACCCCTGAACTCATTTCTTTTTGTAATTTCATACACCCTTTGGCTTACGGGGCACAATCCGTGACTCCACGTAGAGGCACGTGAGAGATGTTTTGATGCCACGTATGCCAAAAAGGTGTAAAAATTTTTTTTTAAAGAATTCAGGAGTAATAGGACCTTAGTTTAGTTAAAGAGTGTCTCTGAAATTTCAGTCATAGTCTAGGAGGATACTTGTGCCTTATCCAAAAAAAAAATAAAAAAATAAAATCTTCCCGCCGTAAAAGTTTCATCACTTGTATCTAAAAAAATTAGTTTGCATTGCACAATGCTAGTTGTTTGTATCCATCCACAATACATAGAGGTGAACAAAATCGAACCGAAAACACACCAAACCGTTTGACATATCTCTATGTAAACAACTTAAACAAGTACAGATCCTATCCAAAAGAATAAAAGAAGAGTGGATATATGTAAAAGTTAAAACCCAGCCTTTGCTCTGTGAAGTCGACAAGAATTCCTAGTGAAAAGGGAGAAACCATCTCATATACGAGTCAAATACTCTAGAATGCAATATCGCTTACATCTACCACAGAAACCAACAAATTTCTAAATTGTCTTCACGCGTTCAATCCGTATTTAACACGTTCTATTATGGGTTGCAAACAGGTTAACCCATATTTACTGTCCAGATTTAAATGAGCAGATTGAATATGAATTTTTATGGGGTTTGGGAGGGTCAAACAAATTTGGGGTTATATTTGCCACCACCACTTGAGGGCAAGCTTAGCATTGTCAAGAAAACACTTGTAATTCAATTATACTGCACAAGAAACCATCAACATAATATTACCTCAAAGTTCCATATAAGGGATGAGAAACCATTTTCAAGGACTTCATTAGGCTAAGGTAGCACACTGGGCCTGTTCAATAATAAGCTATTTGCTGGCTGGCATGCATTTCTCCAGCATGAGAGAAAAGAGAAATGGACGTTTCGATGGTATTACAATTCCAAGGTTTAGCTCCTTACACTACCACATGAGCTACTACTAGCTTCAGCAGCACAACAGGTGACAGCAAGAGTAAGCTGATGAGTGATGGCCTGCAGGAAGAACTAAAATTTCTATTTTTGTTTTGTTTTGGGGTGCACCAGATTGCAGTATACAACTGCCAAGCTTCATTCTTGAAACTGCACGCAGCAATTAAACAGGGTTGACTTCTTTTCTAAACATATGAGGCAGTCTAATTCCATGGATGATCACCTACAAGTGGTTGTGAAATTAGATTCCACGAATAGGATGCAACATAGCTGTTATAGGATAATTAAAGAACCAACGCATGCAGATTGGAATATTTTAACACAAAGTGATATGTTCGGTGTAATGCTCCTATAGAACCCAAAAAGCCATTCTTAAATTTAAAGAATTGAGATTATCAGGATAATGGAAGAAACACATCATATGCTCAATTGGAGTATACCCAATTTTCCGCTTAAGCATATATAAGTTTAATGAGTGGTCACAGAGCCGCAAGTAGGTCAATTTGACCAACCAGAATAAAGTATAAGCACAACACTTGATTTTACATTGGAGAACTATGTGCTAAGTATACAGGAAAGAGTACATCTTGTCGAGAGAACGACACACGGCATAGTTTCTAACTAAAACTCATAAATATATACGGGGAAGCACTTCACTTGACCAAAAAGGGAAAAGAGATGAGTGATAACATGAAAATCCTTGGAATTCTGTTTTTGTGGAAGTGCTACAGCTAGTATAATTTTGTGTGCTGCACTTAATTTCAGGTCGACAGATCTAGGTTGTACCAATTCTAAAGTGTCACACCACCCAATTCAAGCCAAATGGATAAAGTTCCTCTTTTGCATAGTTTTCTGGAAAGACAGTAGGCCCTTGAGAGTCAGTACCTACAACTTTGAGGATACGAAGTTGGAAGAGTCAAAGGGGAAAGAATAACTACAAAGCCAAAGGTGGGGAGAGGAATTCGTATAGGCTAGCCGAGGCGAGAGAGAGGAGGGACCGAAACCTTGTCCAAGTTAAGTGCATCAAAGACGATAAAGGCAGAGTATTGAAGGAAGAGGCACACATTAGTCATAACTCATACTTCCATGAACTCTTGAATGAAGGAGGATACAGGAATATTGTGATGGGGGATTCAGAGCACTCAAAGAGTAGTCCAGATTTAGGGAATTGTAGGGGTTATTAAGTTTGAGGAAATTAAGGAGGTTAGTAAGATGAGAAGCGGGAGGACGACTGGGCCAGACGAGATCCCAGTGGAATTTTGGAAGAGTGCAGCTACTGCAGGCAAGGAGTGGCTAACTGAGTTGTATTACGCAGGGGTTGGAATGGTACAGAACTGAAAATTTCAGTTCGGTAATTTAATTTTTTATTTTTAAATATACTATACCATTACCCTACCAACGTAATTCGGTATGGTTCGGTATTTTAAAGTTTGACTTTGGTATTTTGCGGTATGGTAGATAACCACAGTTTGGTCAACTTCAACTCACACAAAATATTTATTTTCCGAACTCACGTAAATCATATAATAGAGAATTATGATTTTGACTTTTCGAAAAATGTCTCAATTATACCATACTAACACCTTAAACATGTGGAAACATTCAAAAGAAAATACAAGTAAATCCCCTTTGTTAATCAATAACCCAAAAAAATATTTTAATCAAGATAGAGTATTCAAAGTTCCAACGCCTGAATAATTAGTTTTATATATTTGCTACTATTACAATAATATATATGAATTTTACATGTAACTATAAACTTCGGTATGGCATTCCATATTACGATATTTTTCTTATAAATATCGAATACCAATTTTTTTTAAATGCATACCAAATACCATAATATTAAAACTGCAGTATCAATTTTTTTTATTTCGGTATGATATTCGGTATCTACTATATCATGCCCACTCCTAGTTTAACATCACTTTTAAGACGTCAAAAATGCCCAAAGAATGAAGGTGGAGTATGATAAGCCTATTGTATACAAGAACAAAAGTGATATTCAGAATTGCAACAACTATAAAAGTATCAAGCTGCTAAGCCACACTCTGAAAGTCTGGGAGAGGATGGGGTTGGGGGTAGAGGGTGTGTTTATTATCGAGAACCAATTTAGTTTCATGTCAAATTGTTCAACTACTGAAGCCATTCATCTCGTAAGGATATTGATAAGGTAGTCTAGAGAGAGGAAGACAAAGTTACATATGGTGGCACACGACAAAATCCCTAAGGAAGTTTAAAGATGTTATGAGGCTAAAAGTGTACTAATAGCTTACACTAGAGCGATTAAGGACATATACGATGGAGCCGAAACTCGAGTGAGGATAGTGGAAGGAGACTCAGAGCACTTCCCCATCGTGACAGGGTTGCACCAAGGTTCAACTCTTAGCCCGTTTTTATTTGTTGTGGCGATGGATGAACAAGCACGACATATTTGAGGGATGGGGGGTGCCATGGTGTATATTATTTGCAGATGAGACACGCAGTAGAGATAACATTACGCTGGAGATGTGGAGACAAACCTGGAGTCTAAAGGGTTCAGATTGAGTAGGACTAAGCTAGAGTATTTGGAGTGCAAGTTCACTGATGTAATTCACTAGGCAAATGTGGAAGTTTAGATCGACACTCAAGTCAAATCCAAGAGAGAAAGTTTCAAGTATCATGGGTCAATTAAACAAGGAAATGAAGAGATTGAGTATGATGTCACACATTGTATTAGAGCAGGGTGGATAAATTGGAGGTTTGGATCTGTTGTCTTGTGTGGTACAAAATGTCACCAACACTTAAATAAATGTTTTATAAAGATGTTATATGAACTAGTGTAAACATTTGAAGGAAAATGATTCTTCATTGGCATAAAATGTCAATGTATAAATTTGTAGTAGAAATTTTGACAAACCATTAAATGGTTTCACAAGTTAAAGCTTGATATTTGCATATCAATCGTGTCATTGATGACATTAAAGGAAAAAATTCATTTTCTATAAATAGGTAGCTCTTGGTTCATTTGTAACAAACATCTCATTTGCCTTCTCATCTTCTAAGGCATTTTAAACTTCTTCCACTCTTGAAGTATTTCACTTGTGTTCTTTTGGAGTATAATAAAGTTTGGTTGGATTTGACCGAGGACTAGGCAAAAAACAAAATTTTGCCGAACCTCATAAATTTTTGGTGTTCTTTTTTATTATTGTCTCATTTACTATTTATTAGTTGTCTCTCAATATAGCAGTTGTGATTTTATCACTCTAAATATTCGGCTTCCGCAACAAGAATGACCAGACATGTAGGATAAAAACAACTAGGTTCCAACTTAGGTCATGTACCATTGGTAGAGTCAAAAAATGATATGTAAGATCTAAGCAACATCATGACACTGAATGTTTGGTCATGGCTGGAAAATACTCCTCCCATTTACCATAGATGATAGACAAAGGTTCGTAAACTTAGACCACACTAGAGAAGCTGCTCCTTCATTTATCATCAAAATCTGAAGTTCACATGTTAATATGGTGATTGGAATTCTTCACTCCATTGATAACCCATTTTTGCTGTAAGTGTGCATTGGCAATCTTCCAGTCACCTATGACCAGATGTCTGAACTAAAAGCCTAAGAAATTAAGTAATTGAAACCACAATGAGGGCATCCCAGAAGAGTTCAAAGGCAGGCTGCTTCCTTTATGTTTTGGTTACTTGGTTTGGTAAAATAAATAGTTCTATATTTATTTCTTAAAGAAATTTGATCCTAGAGAACCCAACAAAAATGTGTGGTTGATCTCTCGCAAAACTTTAGTACTATGTTTTCTGACACGAGAAAGAAAGTACAGGTCACTACAGATCGTGCTTGAGATTTGGTAAGGACTCTAAAATTCAATGAACAACAAATCACACTCTTAATAGGATTTCATAAATGTGTTTGCCAATGAGGGAACTGCAACACTTATTCTAAAAATGAAATCATGGGGTGCGAAATGTATTACCTTAATTCATGAATTAATTGATAGGAGGTATGTGCTATGAGTAAAGAAAATCATCCGTCTTTCCTGCTAAAACAAAATTATCCAAGTCATTAACTATGTCAGAAACATTACGTCATAAATCTAACCCTAAAATATAAAAACATAACAAGAGGGAGCATGCAACAACAACCTTTGACAAAGTTTTCACAGTAAGAGAAAAGTAAAAGACGAGAGGAAATACTTTCTCTTTCTTCGATCAACAGAAGCATTCCTTGGGTCAGTTTTAGCAAGACCAGATCCAGGAGGGATGGCATACTGCATCGGGGAAAGAGCTGCAGCTGTAACAGGCGTAGGAGCAGGAGGTGGAGCGGCTGGAGGGGCTACACTTGATGGTAGTGATGCAGGTGGAGCAGAACTTGGTGCAGTTGCAGGCTCAGGAAGCGGCCGCGGCAAAATATGTTTCAACCGGTTATTTCTATAGTTCTTCCAAAAGTAAAATTGCTGCCTATGTGCCACTTCCTAATAGTTGTTACAAACATGTAGATTAGATCCTATCACAGATTTATATGCCAGAACTTTAGGTTGGCAAACAAAGTGCAATAGTTAATAAAAAGTGAAATGAGATGAGAAGTCCTCGGGGAGAGAATTAACCTGGACAACGCAATTAAATAATTATAAGTTTTATGTCTAGAAACTATGAAAAAGTTAAGAAAGGGAAATAAGGCTGATGGCAAAGACGATGAAGTAACATGTATTATAAAGTGCTTTGGCTGCATTTTTTGTCCATAGAAACTGTGTTTACACAAAGTGGGACGAACTTTCTTTATAGTGGCTGACAGTCTTAACTAACTAAAGGGTATAGCAAAAGTGGAGGAGGAAACCAGGACAACACATGACGTAACTTTTTACCTTGTTAGCAGGATGCGCCATTGCATTACGAAATGTTGGATTTTGAAGAAGCTCGAGAAAGAATAGGCAGTGTGGATACCTGCATTAACATCAAGAAAGGGAAGACCAATACTGTTAGTTAATGATACCCATAGTCCACAGCAAACAGAAAAGGAACAAAGACCATCAACCAAATAAAGCGTGGAATTGAACTGCATCTAAAAAGTTGCAGTAGAAGGAACATACAAAACTATTATCATATATTAATACTAGAAACTAACTTACATTATAAACTTTATGTACTCAGGTCGTTGCCAGTATTGAAGATATTTCAAGTACCCAATAAAAGCTTCATCTTCAAAATACCTATTCTGAGCCAAATCTGCATCAGAATCAATACAAAGTAAAAAACACAAAAAAGAATCAAAAAGGGATGGAGAAATTGAAGCTTTTGCACCCAAATTTGACTTGTCTAATTGAAACACAAGGCATTCCACACACTTAAAACACAACGAAGAAGAAAGAATCATCCAACAACATATATAACATAAAACCAACAATAATTGGTCATTTTGAGAACTACCCAGAAATTATCATGTTTTTCTAAATAAGAGAAGGGAATAGATAGATAGATACAGTGAATGTAAGTGGGATTAGCGAGGCATTGAACAAATTCGAGTTCCAGTAAGAAACGTTGGCGTCCATCATCCGGATCTTTATAGACGCTTTTCTGCCTGCAAATTGGAACAGAAAAAACAGTTGATTAATGTGAAGTTGGGAAGACAAAGGCGAGATGAATTGATTCTGCTTACGGTGATTCATGGGTGTCTGGATTCGATGTAGAAGCCATTCGCTAAACCCTAACTAATTCTACTTTTCAAAGTTAGCCGTTGTTTGTATTGGTGCGCTATATATGCAAAAGGAAAGTCTGCATATACAAATGAGCATAAAAATAGGGATTCGGGCATGAGATTATGAAATTGTATTTTTAAGATGTAAGGGTGGATTCGAACTGTATTTTTCGACAAATTTCAGTTTTGACCTGAGGGTTTCGACTTCTTGGATTTGATTTTGATCCGAACTTTTATATGTCAATATGAATGTGATTAGACTCGTTTACTCACCTAGATTATATACTCGATCAGATTGGAACGGTTTGAAGTCTTTCAAAAAAAGAAGGTGAAGTCATAACTCCGATTGAAGCGATTTTCGATGGGTGTTTCTTGTATGGAACAAGGGGTATGTGATTATACCTAAGTTTTGACCATTTTTTCGTCAGTATGCATAGTTTTTAAGCTTAAATTCGTAGTTATATACATGAAAATTGTGATTTTAGTCCTAGGGGTAAAAAGTATAAATTTTGGGCAATTTTGGATGCAACCTTCGTGATTTGGTTTGGAATAAAAGTCTTACATCGCTTTTGATATTTACACACTATTTCATCATTCAATTCATGTCTCGAATTCAAGTTGATTCTATTTCGATTATTTCTCAAAGAAAGGTGCTTCGATCATGTCTACGGGCCACAACTGAATATATATGTCATGAAAGAGAGGTGCATGATACCATGCCTAAAATGAGCATGAAAATTGAGGGGTTTGGACCTAGAACTACGAAATCATATTTTGATGACTTGAAAGTAGTTCAATTCGACTAATGTTTTCGACCAAATTTTAGATTTCTTTCCCCTTTATGCAATTACCAACTTGGACTACTTCAATTGTTATGTTCGTGCGTTTTCCTATTAACAAGACGTTTTACCACACTACAAATCTTCATCTCCGTCTATATCAAAGCATTTTGTATCTACCCTAACATGTAATAAATAGTCCTTTTGGAAAACTAAACACCATTGGTCTTATTGCACGTAGCTATTAGGATTTGAAGTTGGGGACAAGGAGGTTTAGGAGAGGGGAGCTTAAGAGTGACCAAACCACAACCATAGTTCAAAGAGAATATAACCATCTCCAACAAAATGTCTATTTTATTTGTCTTTTCCTTTTGCTGCCCAAAATGCAAGCACCTGAGCAAGCTAGCTAAGAAAAAACTTCTCAATCCCCACACACCTAAAACATCATCCAGAGTTGAAATTTATGTCAGCTTATGACTTATTTGAATTATAACATCCTTTGCCCTCCCAAAGGTAACCAAAGAAAGAGAAACAAGGAGATGCCTCTTTCACAAAGCGAGCCCCATGCTTCTCTCGGGAAGGCTGCAATCCAGCTTAAGATCCACTAGTATGGCCTGTAGCGGGTGGAACGTCGGAACCTTGGAACCCTTCTGCAAATAAGACGACAACACAATACTTATTAACTAAAGTTTGATGTAATCATCAAGCAGGCATCAGTTTGAATCATGTGAATACAAAACATGACAACGACAGTGAACATCAAACGAGAGAGTAAAAATTGCACAACTGTTCAATTATAGCTTATAAAAGTGAAGAGTCAAGGAGGACAAATTGAGAGCATGCTAATTAGGAACACTGTAATCCAGATGAACAAATATCTGAAAATTTACTCTTCCATTAAAATCTAGGGAAGTTCAGCTCTCTGTTGAAGGGCATAAAAAGCATTTCCACCAATTTAAGTTCTACGAGATTCCATTTTATTTGGGAGGCAGGAAGCACTGAACTACTGCTCATGTAGGGGCAACAGTGTAGGTCAAACAAACATGTGTTGAAGTAGATTATGTGGCAAGTGCAGATCCCATAAGGCATCAGAGTAGGCTGTATCCAAGTTGGGAACCAATTAATATTCAACTTGACTTCCTTCAGAAATTGAGTGATAGATAAATCTATGAAGTTGCAACTGACAGGATACTGGTACTTAAATGAAATTCGCAGAGTAAGGAGATAAGCTGAGCTTTAGCCCAATGTTTATTGAAGTAACAAAGGCCAGGATAACATTATTGGTCAGGACGGAAACTGCTCTGAGCTATATGTCCCAACCACCTCTTTGCTCCTGATCCTAGAGATCAGACAAAGATGTCTAGCCCCAAAAGAATGGTCAAGCAAAGATCCACTTTGTTTTGGACAAGTAAATAATTTGATGCCTCTTCTTTTTGGGTTGGGGTAAAGAAGGGGAGGTTGTATTTCAAAGATAGATCAAGATTGACCGAGACAAAGTTGTAAGTTTTTTCCTTTTCTTTTGCAACACATTTTTAAAGATATTTTTAGCTTTTTCCCCAAATACAAAACCACCGACCCTACTCGTCACATACTGTCGAAAATTCCTTGACTTCTTTTTTTGAAACTGAAAAAAAGAAGTCAAGGAATTTTCGACAGTATGTGACGAGTAGGGTCGGTGGTTTTGTATTTGGGGAAAAAGCTAAAAATATCTTTTCATGATTTTGTAGCTCATCCAGCATCTAGGGTGGCAAGTTGTACTATGAACTGCTCCTATCTTGATACACCTTTTAAGTTTTAAGCACCTCCATACCCAGACAAAAACAAAAGAAACAGAAACAAAAGGAAAAAGAAATGGCCCCATGTAATAAATAAAACAGTACCACTCTAGCATTCTGAAACTGACTAAAACATAAAAATCCATGGAACCAAAAGTTCAAGCGTTGAAACTTGAATCATCAGCTCCTCTCAGAAAAGAGAAGTTGGAAGAAGACCCAAGGGGAGGGATTCTCTCGAGCACAAGATGGTTGAAAATAGAAGCATCATCACATTAGAAAATAGAAGACCCCTCCCCTTGGGTCGCCTTCCTACTTCTCTTTTTCGAGAGCTGAGGATTAGAGTTACATCGCTTGAACTTTTGGTTCCATGGATATTTATGTATTAGTCAGGTTCAGAATGCTAGAGTGGTACTGTTTTATGTATTACATGGGGCAATTTCTCTTTCTTTTTGTTTCCTGTTTCTTTTGTTTTTGCCTGGATATGGAGGTGCTTAAAAGGTGTATCAAGATATGAGCATTTCATAGTACAACTTGCCACCCTAGATGCTAGATGAGCTACAAAATTATGAAAAAAAGTCAAGGAAGTTTCGGCAGTATGTGACAAGTAGGGTTGGTGGTTTTTTATTTGAGGAAAAAGCTAAAAATATCTATAAAAAATGTATTGCAAAAGAAAAGGAAAAGGCATACAACCTTGTCTTTGTCAATATATATATATATATATATATATATACATATGCATACACACTAAAATAAGGTTCTGCAGAGGATAGCATCATTGTTAATTACCCAAAAGGTGGAATGGCTGGAGCACCAGGCACAAACGCACGACGAGGGCGGAATCCAGCATAGGGATTAAATCGCCTGCCTCGAAATTGCTTCATACCAGGAACATTTGTCCGCTTGGCAGACACCTATACATGAAAAAAGAACATAGTTAGTAGAAGGTGAAACAGAGTCGATAAATCATTAAGATGATTGTTATGGACCTTCAACTTCCGCCCGTGAAGCTCTGATTCGTTTAACAGAAGTGCATTTTGAACAGCCTCCATTTCAAAGAACTCCACATACGCAAAGCCTTTTGGCTGGCCAAGCTTGTCAGTCAGGATAGTTACCCTGTTAACAGTGCCACATGCTTGGAAGTGCTGCTTCACTTCCCCAGGCAAGCAAGCATAATCAACCTGAAGTTGAAATGCAAAAAAAAAAAAAACAATTCAAATGACAGTTATGCTAAGCATTTTCACAAGAGATGGGTCAGCATTTATTTTCTTTGTGGGATGGGGGGCTGCGGCTGGCCTCATTTCAGATAGCGTTACAAATATCAAACCACATTCAAAGACTAACAATGAGGGGCGCCTTACATGTGTTTTACTAACACAATATGGTGTTACTTTGGTAATACGTGCAGGGAACAATATATTTTTTTTTTGCTAGTTCGTGATTTAATGTGAAGTTAGCTCTATCAATACAGCAACTCAACCTAACGGCAAAATGCAGCAACTAATCCCGTAAATGGAACATTCAGACCGAGCAATCTATAGTGCTGCCTTATCCTGTCATGTATTTCTGAACAAACTTATCCCAAGTATTCATTCTTCTGCACACAACCAATTGCAAGCTAAGGCTACAAGAGCAAAGCTGAGAAAGTAAAACAGAAAACAAAAGTAAAAGAACAAGTAGAAGAGCAACAAACCAATTTTCTGTGTCCATAATGAAAAAAAAAAAATCTCAAAGTACAGCAATTAGACAACTGATGCGCAAAATAAGTCTGTTCTAGAAAGTCGAACACTATTATTGCTTTCTAGGTGAGTTCATGTTAAAGTTGCATCTACAGTGTCAAAGAACAAAAAATAATATAAATATAAGAGGGCAAAAACTATAGGCAACAAATTTTTGAGCAATAAAGTATTCTACAGTTTTATTGGATTATAATGTGAAAGCAAATAATCAGATAAGGTTGAAGTATAAATTAATTCCTGTCATTGATTAACACAATATAAGTCTTATGAAGAGAAGGATGATGCAATTAGTAAAAACATGTCACGTACGGAAAAATAAATTTACATGTTGAGGTAAAGGCGACAAATCTCACATTACCGACATATATGGATCGCAAATCCACCTCCTCCTTTTCAGCCTGAGTAGCAGAAGCAGTTGGATCTGCACATAAGCACAATTATGAACAGCCAAATACCCCATAAGCAATTTTGACAATGTCTATCACATAAGATTGTTTGGATTTCCCTTGTTTTCTGGGAGGATGGGGTTTGCTATCAAAGGAAAAGAATTCTTCACACACAAAGACAAACACACTCTCTTCAAAAACAGAAGTCCAAAACCTAAGATAACTTAAACACATTCACTGATCTTTTATGTGTCAGATAATTGAGAGACCTTCCGAAGCACCCTAAAGTTTCACTCATGTTTTTAAAAAGCTACCATTAACTTGTGTTTCTTTCTCTCTATATATATATACAATCACACATACATACCAATTAACAACTAAATACGTAGTGTAGTCTC